CATTGTTCATTCTTTCCCTGAAGTAGTCAATGTAGCAGTCAAGGTTAGGGTTTCGTCCACTGTGAGGTGTCCAATCTGATGTTTTTTGGGGTTTTTTGGCATTGATCTTTTCTTGAATGTTGTCAGAGGATGAGTTGTTGTTGGGAGTGGGTTCAGTTTGGTTGTGGAAATATTCTTTGAGGCACAGGCGTCGGAAGAATTCTTCTAGTTCTCCACATTGAAGTATTTTATTAGGGTATTTTTCTGGACAGAAATTTAGGCCTTTAGAAAGGACAGATTTTTCAGTTTTGGTAAGCGTGTGTGTGGAGAGATTGATAATATTTGTGAGTTGGTTGCTGCTTGCAGTTTCATCAAGTCTGAGGTTGAAAGGTCGTAAGGTGTTGGTGTTGTTCCTCTGATGGTTGTTTTGTGGCTGGGGAGCTTTCATAGATGCCCCTATGTCTCATTGTTTCAGTTAAGTAACCAGTAAATTATCTTCATAAACTGTTTTATTTTTCTCCCACTGGAAACCCAAGCTACCTGAGACTTGGTTGAGAGTAGGTCAAATGCTTACCTTTGGAAAGCAAGAAAATGAACAGCCTACTATTGTGCAATTATGAATTCCCTATGCCTATGGAAGGCATTTAGAAAATGATGATAGAGCTGTGGAAATCTATAGATTGTGCCTCAGTGCTGAGATTCCCAAGCCCCGTCTGCTGAGCCCTCAACACAGGCTTTTCAGTACCTTCCCTCAGAAATAATATAAAGCAATCCCAGGATTCCTAGCCTTGAACACAATATGGGCATATCTACATGCGCTATTAATGCTCTGTAAGTAAAATACTGTACAGTAAGCTTTCTCTGGCAGGGAGTCTACATGCCCACCTGTCCGCAGCAAATTTGCTCCCAAGGGGAACAGTTTAGTGCAGGGCTACTCCAGCCCATTTACAGGCAGTAGGCAACCTCACAATAGAATAATCCACTGCAAAGGAAATGCTGTACATGTGTAGACGGTGATGCTTTACTACACAGTAGATTAGTCTACTGCATCTCATGTAGACACCCTGCTTCTCACATTCTTAGACCACTGAGCAGTCATTGGAAGTAACTTGTAGTCACTACAGTCACTAGCAAGCCCCACCCTGAGCCAACTCAAGCCTTTATGAATATAGCAATCTTGCCTCCAATTTCTTTTGCTGAAACTTATGTATTACACATTTTGTGTCAAATTTATTCATGATGCAGCTCCACTTAACCATTTGATTCAGTGCAAGATATTGTAATGTTCCATGAGGAAGGGCCTTCAGCCACAAAAGGGCACCTAGAATCAAGGTGTCTTTCCACTGACTTACTATAGCAATTTCACAATATTTGCCCAGGCCTCACAACCCTAAATATGTGGGGTAAGGTTCATTCATCCTCATTTCGCATATGAGACTGCCCTTATAATTAAATTTAGTAAAGTCCTGTTCACTTCCTGTCCAAAAACAACTTTTTGTGTAGAGTTGCTGAGCGTTATTAATTAGTGCTGACCAGCGTTCAGACTCAATGTGGGTTGTGATAAATTTATTATTCCAACTGGAATTTGATTTAGACAACAGATTTTGTGCCCCTAAGAAATTCCACAGAATCTCTCATACTCCCAGCCAATGCAGACCTGGGCTTTGGGATTCATCCAAAGATGAATCCATATAAGATGTCTTCTATAATTTCATAAGATCAGCATTCAAAATGGACTGCCCTAAGGAGGCACATTTCAGTGGCTAAAAGAATCAGAATTAGCTGATACAATACCATATACATGTAATATTGGCTCAATACATTTCTTATGCATCTGTCTGGATTTCAGAAGTCCACCTGAAGGCTCACTTCCCAGTCTGTATCACTAGAGTAGCCTGCTCTACTTAGCTGGTCCAATGAGGTAAAATGTCATAGGGCAGTATAAACCAAAGACGTATTAATAAAGGAGATGCAGTGCATGGAGAAATGTCACCAAATGGGAGACACAGATAACACTTTGATTTCACACTATGCTAAGTGCAGGCAAACCAAGATCCTGACCTGAACATTTTGTCACTCATTCAAGCTCCAATTACCAGGCACAGAGGGGATGTTCCACATTCAGTTTTTCAAGGGAACAGTTTTACCTTTGGAACAGCTAGCTGCAAACTGCCTGACTTTCAGTTTTCAGTGTCAGTGGAATTCTACAGTCACTTTAGCCTACGTAGGAAATAGGCAAAAAGGAGCATCTATGAAACAGAAATGGGCGGGGCCATAGGTGGTGGAAGGCCGGGGCTAACAGGGCTTAGCCCCCAAACAGGGCAGCAGGTAGCACCACAGGGCAGCCCAGGTGTCTATTCCAGGCAGCTGCAGCAGGTGGGGAAGGGGCGAGCACAACTCAGACATTTGCAGCCTGGCTTGTGGAGCACTGCCCAGGATGGCAGACGTGTCTTAGTTTGTGAAGGGGAAGGGAAGGGGTGGAAGTGGGGGGGCAGACTGAGGCCACCACAATGAGGGAGTAGGGCAGATGCAAGGGCAGGGGCTGGGGTGAATGGGGTCCTGGGGCGGGTTGTGAGATGGTCGGACCCTGGGCAGCTCATCCAAGGGTGCAGGGAGGCTCCTGCCACTGTGAACACCCCAGGGGAGGCATGGCAGGGCATGTGCCCCCCAGATTTGTGGGGGGTGGAGGCAGGTTGCCATTGGAGGCTGGGGACACGGCACAGTGCAGAGGTGGCAGGTACATTGCGTTGTGCGGCTCCAATACAGCGGCAGCAGGGCACAAAGGCCAGCACACAGCAGCAGCTTGCGTCCATTCTGTGCTCAAATCTGGGGGGCATTCCACTCCCTCCCTCCCTATAGGGGCCTCCATCTGCCCCCCCCTCCCCTTTCCTTCTCCCCCCACCCCTTCCCCTCGTCTGGGGGGGGTGCATGCTCAGCACCCCCAAATAATATTTTCTCCCTCCACCTATGAGGGGGACATTCTGGCCCCTGCTCTAGCCCCTATGCATTGCTGGGACAGTATACATAGGTGTATGCAGGAGCTCTATGTGGCTGAAGGGAAATTCCCTCATCAAAGGGAGTGTGTGGGGGGGAGGGGGGAGAGGCAGTCCTATAATGCTGAACACTGTGAGGATTTTGAATTTTTACGCCATCCTGAGGGGCACAGACAAATGTTCAGCTCCCTGCTGTAACTCATGCTGCTTCACAGGAAGTGCCGTAAGTTGCAACGATCCTCAGACCTAAGAGGTGCTCTTTGTTGTGTACAGGGGTGTGGGGGATTGAGCTCCACTTTGGTCCACTTGACCAAAAGAGGTGGTTGGTGGAGCTGTGTCTCTGGAAACCTGATTATATCATGATGCTCCAGTTCCTATCCCCATTCCATTATGGGCACCAGTGGGAATGAGATGGGAACATATGAACATAAGGATGGCAAGTGAGACCATAGATCCCTCTTGCCCAGTATCCTGTGTCACACAGTGGGATAGTGGGCTGCTTATACATGCCATTGGAGTTTAATTTGTTTTAGCTCTCCCTAAATTGAAACGGTGGGTTTTTAAAAACACCGCTTCAATCTAGGGAGAATTAAACCAAACTAAAACCCCATGGCATGTACACAAGGGTGGAGGCCTGATCCTTACCTGTCTCTTTGGTGGTGGCGGGGGGCATGGGAGGGGAGAGCTGCCAGTGGGCCAAGCAGTCCCTGAGCTGCGTGGGGGCCGCACAGGCAGCACCTGTCTACTGGCACCTGGCCTAGGTAGTCCCAAGGGAAACACTACCTCCCCCCACACCCCAGCTGAAGAGGGAAGCACTGGGCCCTGCACACCTCAAGCAAGCAGAAAGGCTCTGGGGTGAAAAAAAAGGGATCAGGCTCACCGCTGTTTTTTTTTCCTTCAGTGGAGCCTGCCTGCATGGGTTACTGCTGGGTTCCACAGCCCTTGAGCTTCACAGGGCCCACCAAGTCCTGAGCATGTCAGCTTCCAGTGCCTTGTGCACTGTTGCACTTTGTTAGGTAGCAAACTAAAACACCTCAGAGGTGTTTTATCTTGCTCTGTACCAAAGTCATTTAAAGCAGAATATGCTGCTGAGCATGCAAACATCAATTCCATTAAAGTGGTGCAAAAGGGCATTAAAGCTGCTTTAAACACCAATTTTGTGGTGTGTACAAAGGCGCCATGGATACTGAAAGGGAAAAACAAAGGAGTCTCGGTGTGCTTGAAAATATATTTTTTGGGTGAATGCTGAGCAGGTTTAGGAACCCAGGCAGCACAGCCCTTGCTCAAGATCCATTTCATATCTAGTTCCTCCCTATTATTCATGATTCTTGGAATGTGAGCACAGCACACCCCACAAACCCACAGCAAGTTAAAATTCTCTTCAGTTTCAACAGAATTAACATATCATAATTAAAACAGTTAATATAGGAAATTACAGCCTGCATCAAGCCTCTCCCAAATGTCAGGAAAGTGCAGACAAAGAAAAAGGTGATCTTCACATTCCAAGTTCCTGATCAGAATTTTGAAACAACTTATGGAAAGAGCAGACCAGGAAGACATGAAATTTGCATAAGATGAGGCAAGTCCTTTAAGACGGGTTTAGTCAGTACTCTTTAGGCCTCCAGCCAGATTGGAAATATTGAATAAAGCTTTTTTTTTCCTTTATATTGAGACTTAGTATCTCAAAGCTTACAGCTTTTACTTGGATCCAACAAATAAAGTCCTGTTCCCAGAGGAGTTTTCCATCTACTGACTCCTCTGTGAAATCCTATGAAATATGAACTTTCATTTCTACCCAGGAGAACATTTACAGTCATTTCTCCAACACCTGATGAAGGGTGTTTGTGCCAGAAAGCTTGCAATTAAAGAATTTTTTCTGCAAAAATCTTGTTGGTCTAATAAAAGATATCAACTCTACTATGAACACTGATTGCTTTTTCCTCTAGACCAATATGGCTACAACCTGGATACCTGTTCCTTTTTTTGTGCCACTTACCTCTTCACTGGAGAATAGCTAAAACTCCATAATTGTGATATATCATTTTATTCCATATAAACATGCAATAGAAAACAGTTGAGCCTGCACTGGATAAGGCATGAATAGTTTTCTCACTTCATGTTAGGACTTGATATGTAGGGTAATTTTCATCCCATAGATGATTAGTACACCTAGAAGGAAGAAGCCTTGATGTATACTTTTGATTCCTTTCTAGGCATGGCTACGTGCAGAAGACACTGCCAGGTTAGCAAATGCTCTACTATCATGTACAGTCAAGGTGATCTAGTTCCAATTCACTGGCCAATCCATTTAGATAATAAAACAGTTGAGTATCAAAAAGAGCTCTTTCCCATCACCCCAGTTCCAGCAGAGGCAGATATAAGTTCCCTGAGAGAGTCTGGTTTATAGAAATGTTGATTTCATTTCTGTTGCAATCTGTCTCTTCTGCTGCTGCTTTCTGGATCTTCTTACCAATACAGCCCAAACAAGCAGGGAACCAGCCAGGACTCCAGCTGCCGCCGCCACTATAACCGCCCAGTAAGGCACTGCTATTTCCTCTGGGCTGGGAACTGTATTTTGCAATCCACTGTTTCTTGATGTATAAAGAAAGGGATTCTCCTGCATAGGAAGGACAGAGGACTTCATTGGCCTTAGCACACTTAGAAGCAGTATTCTGCATACTTGCCAGCCACCCTTATTGAAGAAGGGATGTCCCTATTTCTTTACAATAATATAGACCATTTCTTCATTTGGGGCCTCCCAAAAACTCCCCTAGCCCAACACATTTAAAAAGCATTGGTTTTTCCCCAGACCCCCACACACGTTCTTTTTCTTTTCCTACATTACATATGACAGAAGTTTTGACATTGCTTTTGAGGCCAGTCAGTGCAGATAATCACATGGAAACATGCTGTCAAAAGAAAACTGGTTGAAGTAAGTTTTTACAATGGCAGCATTGAATTTTTGCATGAAATCCAAGTCAGTAGATGTCTCTGGAAACTTCCATTTTTGTCAAGAAATTAGAGAGTCTGTGTGCTCTGTAAACCAGTCTGTGCCAATGATGCAGTCTTTTAGCATGCTCAAATTACATTCCCAGCAGGAAAGAAAAAGAAAACCAAGGTGACTCTAGGGGTGAGAATATATATATCGTGGTAATTACTTACCAAACTTGGACACTTGAGTTTCATTCTGTTGTAAGTAAAGTTATTATAGCTCTGTTTTCTACCAACTGGCTCCAGCTGAAGGAAGGGAAGAGGAACAGATAAGCAAGCAGACAAATTTTCTTCCTAAACCCATGTCACTTGTACAGTTACAACATTCTATCAAGAGTAGGCAACTGTTGATCCTTTTGGATCATGGTGTATTGGCAAGAGGTCACCAGGGGCATCAATGAGTATGCCTAGCAGGAGTATGGAGCAGTGAAAGCTGCCCAGACCTTCCACCCCCCCTTCAGACCATTGAGACAGTATTCAAAGGCCAGACCAAGTCCGGACATTTGGTACCTCAATGTTTGTGTTCTATCAATCTCCTACCATGCTATGCACCAGCAAGGGATTGTGGAGTATGGTGGGTCACATGACTGATTCTTCAGTGATTTTGCAACTCACAAGCCAAATTCATGGAGAACTGTTGTTCTTCCTATGGAACCATCTCCCCCAGATAGTAAGGACCATTACAAGGACCCAGCCTCTTCTGCTCCAAGTAAAAGCTTGAGCTGTTTTCTCTATCCTAAGCACAGACTGCCATGGGCATTAAAAGAAATTTCACTTTATTTTGCACACAGTTCTTCCGTGGGGGAGACTCTGAGAGAGAGGAAGCCAACATCTGACAGATGTTAGTCACCTTGCTTAATGCACTCCTGGAAAGTACTTAAATACCACAGTAGTGGGGCTGGCAATCAGAGAAGCCACATAAAACTGAAGACAGGACCAATCTCTGCAATACTCACTTAGGTAAAACTCCTTAAAAATTCTGTCTAAGTAATGGCTGCACAGTTGTTCCTTAAACAGAGGGATAAAACTGGCATAGGGTGGGTGTCTCCCTCTCTTTAACATCTACTAATGCATCTACAGACCTCATGTGTTGAGGGGAACAGAAAAGAAAGGGACATGATAGGGTGGCATAATATTGTAACAACCCCCAAAATGGAATTGAGACAGGGAAGGAAATTTACTTCTAGGAACAAGATTCATACAATTCAATACAATTACTGGGGAGACTTTCCCAGCTCTGTGGTCTTACATACAAAAATAAGAATAGAAATTGAAGGGAGATGTGCCTAGAAATGCATGAGATGAAGGACAAAAACAGAAACAAGGAGAAAGACAGAAAATTATATGCAAAAACAACTGTAGATGAGAGAAGAAGCAAAACAATGGGATTCAAAGAGTTGCTGACTGTCATGGAATTCTGCTGCTGAGTAAAGGTCAATGTCATACAAGAGCCTTCGCTCTTTGGCTTGCCTGCTAGTGAATTCTTACAAGTGCATGTTATTTTTGCTAAACCATAGTGGAGGCAACAAGCATCCTGATGGGCATCCTTGGATCTACAGAGCTTGGTTCTGTACAGCTTTGTCTGTGCTCTCTCAGGTTTCAGTACAATCTGGTGCTTCCTGAGCCAGGGTGTCCAGGAAAGAGCTTGGCATGAAGTCAAGAAGAAGGCCTAGCTGTGTGTTAAGATCTGCAGCAAGCAGCATTCATTTAATCTATGTGCCACTCAGTTTTTAACCCGTGAACTCAGGGCCTTGACTGGATCCTCAAGGCCTGGCCTGTGCTGCAGGAGAGTCCCTCAGCATGTAGGGAGTGTACACGCACTGGACCAACCGTTAGGGCATGGCCTGTACTCTCCTGTGTCAATGGCCAAATCAGTGGGCTGGTGGGGGGAAGGGGCTGGACTTCAGCTGGTATATTTCCCTATTAAGCAGCAACCCTTTGTATATCCATCCAACCATGAGGGTCAGGACTACATTTGGCCCTTGCACTCGGCAGGAGGGACAGACAGCACAAGGGTTGGGGAGAGACTCTTTTGTGCCCTCCCCATGCCTGCATGCCCACACAAATGAGCAGATACAATCTGGCCTTTTATGTGCATCAAAGAAAACCATCTTATTTGGCCCTCCGCCTGCAGCTTGCTGAGCTGCTTCAGGGAACAGAACAGGGCTGAGCAAAGCAGAACAGAAAAACAATACACTCTTAGCAATCAAAGCACAGACTCTCCATACATGGACTCAGACTGGGAAGCAGGGCAGAGCTATGAGGACAGCCACTAGTTTTAATTAAAATGGGTCTGATCCTCAGTGGACATAACTCAACAGAACTCTGGGGCAGTGACTGGAATTGCTTCACAGCAGCCCAGGATCTAACCCTCACAGATCTTTTAACGCTAACAAGGCCTCATTATCCCTGGTTTTTGCCTCAACACTCCTAGGTGTATGTAGGAAAGGGGAAGCAGCAGAGAGAACACAGTTTGGCGGTGAAAAGGAGCACTCAGGTTCGGGAAATGAATGACAGCCAGGGGAAACATTGGACTGCCCCCCTCCAGGAGCTGGGATGTGGTAATGGAAGCCCACACTTGATTTATGACCTTCATCCACAGACTCATACACACTTACTTAGCAGAGAACCAAGTTCAATTGTTTAATTTCACCAAAAGGCAATCTGCTTTGCTTTAGTCTGCTGGCACAAACCTGGGGGGAGGACCCCTGCTGCCACATCTTTGGGTAGGGAGAGAACGTTGCAGCGGTGTAAAGTGTCCATAGCCCTCCTTCCCACACCAGGGTCCCTGGGGAATGGCACAGCCCCAGAAGTGCCAGGAGGCTCACAGTGTGGGAGGGCTCGGCTAAATGGGAATGCACGAGTCAGCACATTGCTCCTGCAGATTTCCCTGGCAGGACTCTGGCAGAAATGTAAAGCTGTCTTTCCCCCAAGAAATCCCTGAAGGGGGGCAGAAAAGAAATGCCCCACTCTGCCTTCCACGTGAGAAGCAGGATTTTGTTTTGTTTGGGTTCATTATAAAGGGAAAATTAATTAAAGATGATCTTTGGAGATAGGCAGGATCAAATGTTCACCCATGTTGATTTTTGCTTTAATCCAACTTGGCTGCCAAATCAGGAGGTATATTCCCTGTAGACAGATCTTTAAACATTTCTCACCACCATTTGGAGCATTGAAGAAGGATCCCTGCTAGGTTACATTGCTTTATCCCAGTGGTTCTCAACCTTCTTAGATTCAAGGCACCCCTTGGAAAATGCCAGCTCTTAGTTTTCATACTTTTTTTTTACTACAGAAAGATAGTAGAGTGATTCTTCTGTTGCAAAGGACTCAGAAAGACCACAACAGACCAGGCTGGGTTTGATCCCATGGATTCCTATTGGAGATCTCTGGGTTTATCTTATGAATCATGTGTAGGCACTTGTACACCTAACAGTGCTAATGCTGCATGCTACCCCACGACACCCTTAAAAAGATCTTGATGCCACAGCATTCTGCTTGAGAATCACTGATTTATCCAATACTGTTGCATTAGGATGCAGGCCAGGGAAGGCATAGTTGTTACTGGACAGCAGTACTTCCCTCCCAGTCAGTCTAGCCATTTTCCATTTCACTTCTCCCTGTAGTATCTGTGTCCCTTTTTCTATTCTTCTGAGCTCCTTCCATAAGTACATATGGAACTATTGTATAAGCCCTTACCATGTTATTCCAGAGAGCCATGGCCATCTCAGCATAGCCTCTCTCAGCAAAATGGAAGCAATCCACAGCAAAGAAACTCAGATCTGGCTTCCTAGCCTGCAATAGAAAAAAAAAGCTCAACAGTTCATGGATCTGAGATTCAGCACATGACATCTAAAAGGTCAGATATACTCGGCCTATCAACTTCTCAATGTTACATCTTTGTAGAGATAATGCATTCTCATTCTGATGCCACAAACCAACCAGAACAGCAGCTAATCTCAGCTCACCTGCTGCATCTTGAGAGCCACTGACAACATATTATAACCTATATCATCATTTCATAGTAATTTCCACATCATGCTAGTAACTTTGGGTTTTATTAACTACTGAGATATTTACATAGGCACTATATAAGTGCTATTGACTCAAATGCTGACTTATTTAAGGTTTGAAAGAATGTAGTGTGTTATTTTTCTTTGCTGAATTTTTGAAGCCTGCTCCCAGGCTTGTAAACCTTTCAGGCAAATACTGACTGAATTCCAGGTGGATATCAAGGAGGGAGAAGTCATAAAGTTGAAGCACCTATGTGTTTGGGGGGGGGGGGGGGGGGGGTTCCCCAACAA